ACCAACTGAGCAGTCATGCCATTTATCCTATATCAACAACCCATCTCTCATACTGCACACATTCCTACTTGTAATGTCGTCATGTAGAGACTGGATCTCCTTCATGTGCCATGATGCCATGCTGCCATAATAACTACCTATGCACCAGCTACTAGATCTACCATACTACATAGCTGAGCATAACATTGACCTGTTTACCAACAATAGATTCGGCTTGAATTGGACTCGTCGATGCCAGTATAGTTGGAAGCTCTGGTGTGTCTTTCTCGGGTACAGTGACATGTTCATGATCGATAAGTTCATCAACACAAAGTGACTTATAATTTGAATTTCTGTGAATAAAGCAGTTACTTAAGCAAAATTCTTTCTCAAATTTAACTGACTTCAATTGCCAGTCAATGGAAGGATTATGACGCTCCAGCCATGGAAATCCCAGAACAACATCATGTTCGGGTCCTAGTGTGGTAACCAGGGTATCCACTTCCTCGAAACGATTGCTTAATTCTAAGGAGCCAGAAACACGATGCGTTATTGTTATGCTCAGCTATATAAGATGGTAGATCTACTAGCTGGTGCATAGGTAGTTATTATGGCAGCATGGCGTTATGGCACATGGAGGGGATCCAGTCTCTACATGACGACATTACATGTAGTAATGTGTGCATTACGAGAGATGGGTTGTTGATATAGGATAAATGGCATGACTGCTCAGTTGGTTGCACACTTTGGTGAGCTGCATACTGGTAACGTGATCGGTCTACAAACGAACAAGCTAGGGGATAAGGGACGAGCTTCCCCCAATCTGTAATATAACAATTATCATAGTCACTTCACTTCTGCACATTAATGAAGACATCTCTCCACATACTGTCTTAGCTGTTCCAGCGCAAGTGTACATTCCCATTTCATATACCAAGTAAAACAGTTATTAGCTCCGAAACACATCCGTCAGCTAAATGGAGAGGGCGAGGACGTGTAAGGGGTATAAGGGATAGTTTATTAGCAATTGCCCAAGCTTTTCTTACAAACATGAACTCATTGCTACCTGTATCAAGAAGTATAGACACTGAGATAGAAATTTTGCGCCGCACTGTAGAGTGAAAGATTCCAGATAATGATATAGAGTTTTTGCCAGCTTTATTTAAGATTATAGGCTTTCCAATAGTTGAATCCTGATGTATACATTTTATCTGTAAATCAACAAACTTTTGTACATTGACGCCCCGCACGCGACTTAAAGCCGGGGCTCTCCATTTCCCTGACTCCAAGGAGCATTCCTATCAATTTGATATTTATTAACATGCCCATTTTCCGTTTCAACTTCTCCCAGAACTCGACCACTCTTGTGGCCTAGATTATTTACAGGGCTACCAAGGCTATGTTGCTGTTCATATGGGGAATCGTAATTGTGGCCCCAGTCGTTTACTTCTTGCATTTGTAAATGCGGAAAATTACTGGAATTAGCATTTCTAGTTCCACCTTGTCCTCTTGCGTAGCCCGGCTGAGGATCTCTTCCACCTTGGCTCCGGCGACTAAATGGAGCAGAAGAATAATTTTTTTTATTATCACCACTGAATGCTCCTCGTTGACTACTCCGATTATAGTTAAAATTACCTTGTTGACCTCCACGGTTACCGCGACTCAATTCCGCTGATGCCAACTCACGATCGGCAGTATCATGGCCCCTTTTGCTTTTTCTTGCAATTTCAGAAGTACATTCCTTTGAATAGTGACCTCTTCCACCACATCAATTACATAAACCGTGATCTCTTCGATATTGCCATTCAGCCGGGGTTACAGTGAATCTAGTCAATTGCATTTGATCCAAGTCCATGGGATCACCTGTAGACATCATTTCGCTACTATGGGACTTAGAAAAATTCCCTCCACTTGGGTTGCCAAAGAAGCTGCTTTCAATATGGCGGTTTGACTCCTGATTTTTCCAAAATTGAGAAAAAAACTATATCCATCCATATACGTCATCTTCGGAAGGCAGGGGAATATGATTTTTTACCGCTACTTGTAGAGGTTCTGAAACATTACGCCTGAGATGATATACTCGCATAGAAGAACTGAGTTCTCCTTGATCTGCAAGTCTTTCAAATTCTGAAATGAATGATGGAAAGTCTTTCCATTTCCCAGTCATTCTCAGATCATTCAAATTTCCTCTGGCTATAGAGCGTATGTCAGCTGTAAGATATTTTTTGTCGAGTTCTCGGAAAAGTTCTGCAGAAGTAGACCATGGCCAGCCTGATGGATCATTGGTACTTGAGAAAAATAAAGCAATTTTAGACTGCAGGCGAGTATAAGCATCGCCTTTGAGGCAATTGATTACATCACAGATCTTCTTGAACTCAGAATCAAAGTTCCCTCCGCTAGTATTCCACTTAGAGATTAGTTTAAATTTCCAAGCTGTCACGGTTTCAGTACAAAATGCTTGGGCAATCTTGTAAGTACAGTATATTAATTATAATTTTCTGGAGAGAGAATTCTTCAATGTAAAGTCTACATATATATAATTCATTTTACCTGATTTGGCGCCTTGAGGCCCATGCAGGTTTTTCATCAGAAGCTATGTACTTTAAGTAGGATGACTCAATTTGACATGAAGAACACTCACACTCAGATTTTATCTGCAGATACCACTCGAGGTTAACCTTTACGGCGTATAACCTCTTCCGTGCATACCCACCGTAGGGAAAAGTGTGAAAACCCTGTGGCTATCAGAGTGTGCTTTCATCATCCCACAAGTATAATATCACCGCGAGAGAGAGTGGTGTGTGGGTTTTACTGGATTAGAACCAGCTTTCTCCTGTCTCGAATGGGTAGGTGTTCAAGCTACCCAGTATCTACTTGGGAGGACGGCCCGGATGGTGTACCACTGCACCATCCAACCCCCTACATATATATACATTCTAAATTACTGCCATTCAAGATGATTCTCCTTGTGGCCTGAATAATTGAGACGCTTCTACAACTACCTAGAAGGTTCTCGGTACACCTGTTATCCTCATGAACCTTCAGTGTGTTTCCAGAAGGTTCAATGAGAATATTCAACGTTCTGTGGCTTCCGAGATCTTCCCCTTGTGCCATAGCCTACGCTGGCTAGCGTAGGCTACAGGAGTCTTTCGGCTTAACAGCTGTCACACAAGCATTGTAATCATTGTGCCTTTTAACTACGTCTTTCTGATCACCTGAGAAAGGGTCTATGGATGGTGGCTTCTCCAAATAAATCATACTTGGCGGAAATAATTGCGCCAGATGTTGTTGGATGATAGAGGCTTGGGGAACTGCGGGAGCTACAGAAGGGGGTTTCGGTTCTTTAATTGGAACCTCGGATAATTCACTTTTGAGCAACAAATTTTCATTTTTCTGTTTGTTGTACACTGATCTTAGTTTTTGAACCTCGTCGTTTCTCTCCTCATTCGTCCTTTGTAAGTCATGCAGAGTTTGCCTCTGGGCCACACAGTGTCCATCAATAAGTCCGAAAAGTTCATGGAAATTATCTTTCACTTTTGCTGGGGCATTAGCCAATATAGAAAGGTCAAATTTCTTTTCAAAATTGTTGTCAATAAAAATTTCTTGTACTGCAGGGTACTTGGTTATCACCTCCACTAAAGCTCTACAGGCTCTCTCATGCCTATTGTCATGAGTGTATGAAGGAGCGGATTCAATGTTGCTGTCTTCTCCCCAAGGATTATCCATTTTTTTTTTAAATTACTTGGTTCTATCTTGTCTCGGATTATGATATATATCTCGGTCTTTTCTCGGTCTCGAGTTAGTAGCAAAATCTCTGAATCACTGAGTCTACCATAAGGCTTATTTTAAATTGCTACGTGCTGTAATTATTCCTGGTAGCCTGAAATTTGATATGAAACGCGTGTGAAGAAAGGTGCAACTAACTATCACGGGCTGGCGTTGCATAAATACTCGGATGTTCAGAATAGATAATTGTAATTGCACAAGGAACGAAACTGATCTACAAGCAGAGATCTAAATCTAAGTATCCTCGCTTAGAGTTACGCCATAATTTTCATGTGATTACGCCCTAACTAGTTGCCCCTGTGACAGAGCCACACTAGTACCTATTCATACAATTCTTACAGGGGAGACGGGACTAGAGTGTGAATAGTAGATATGAGGATTACGTTGGGAATCCTTACGTAATGATGGTAATTGTTACTAATAAGATTTTACTTCATTTTCCGACAATTAGTGGATAGGGTTAGGTTAGGGTTGGAGTTTTAAACTCCTTCCTGTGATCCTACAACTCCTAATATCACCCATCCCCTGGGTATCTGATGTTGACATGCGTTATCTCAACCGAGGACGAGGAACAGGAACTTTTGTCACCATGTTCCGCGTCCCCGGCTAAGATTGTCAAGTTGCTCCTATGAAACATATCAAAAAGATTTCTTTCACAATTGAGGGAGAGAATTAATCCCATACGAAACGTATCTCTGTACTCTGTACTTTGAAGTGGTGTATGGAATGCTTCCTCAAGCGAACGCATGTTTATGTATTCCCACACTGGATTATACACGGATGGGAGTATAAATGTTGGGTCAGTTCTCGGGACTCGAGGTTTCAAGTCGAGTAAGAACCACCTTTCCAGTGACGCGTGAGGATAACCTCTGCGATATAAGCTACATCTGAATTCATACTCGGCTTTCTGGACAAATGCCTGAGTCGAACATGTTAATGCGATTCTTGAGCGTTCAGCTTTGACAAAGGCTTTTTTCACATTTTCTGGATGTGTAGATGAGTGTGGGATATAAATATGTTTGTTCAAGCGTTTTCGATAGAGATACGTCTGAAGTGCGCCATTCTCTATACTGTCTTCTACGCCTAAGTAGGTTATGAGTCTGCTTGAACAGTTCCACTCAATTTCCAATTTATCGAATGTTAAGTCGAGAAAGAGGTCATTGAGTGCTTCTTGGGTACCTTTGAATAGGATAAATATATCATCAATGTATCTTCCATAATAAAGGAGACCTTTTTTAATAGAGATGTGGTAATATATTTTTTTCTAAATTGGCTACAAATAGGTTTGCGACGGCTAGTGCGCAGGATGTGACCATCGCTAAACCCGATTTCTGCTTGTAGACATCGTGTTCGTACTCGAAGAAGTTGTACCTGAGGATGAATTCTAGCAATTTTTCAATCCCTTTAGTACTGTTCCCTTTTCGATAGCAGGCATTGATGGCAATTTTGGCCGATTCTAATGCTTTGCATGGGTCTATGTTTGTATACATTGCTTTCACGTCGCCGGAGGCAAGTATACAACCCTCGAGGGAATGCATCTTAGATGCAATCTTTCTTAATCCTGCAAGAAAACTTTTAGTACTATTAAGTTCAAAAGGATAATTCTTTAGATAAGGTTGGATGAAATAGTCAATCACCTCAGAAGCCCTTGAAGTTATCCAACTGTGACTTGGAATTATCGGTCTCGAAGACCAGGGTATCTTATGAATTTTAGGAATAACGTGGAATCGCGGTAATTCAGTGGTTGTTTCATTGAGATATTTTTTAATCACAGTGGAAAAAACATGGTTTCTGACAATTGATTTGAATTTCATATTAATGTCATGGAGATGAACGAGGCCCACTAACTGATACGCATCGGTATTAGATATGTGGGTTGTTATTTCATTACAATACCAAGATTTTGTGACCACGGCCAGGCCTAGATTCTTATGGGTGATTTTGACGAGGTATGATTCATCTCGTGAAAAATCCCGGAGACTTTTAATCTCTGGATTTCTGAGATGTGCTGATTGTGGCAATTGCGGAGTTTGCCTGCACAATGACTCTCTAACAGCATCAATAGCTTTCTCTATCCTTGAATTGGCTCGTGGGGGTTCCCATCCAGGGGTTTTCACATGAAATTTTGGTATGTAGTATGGATTATCTGACTTGTCTCGAAACAGCCATCTGATTCTTATCGAGCGATACAGTTGTGTCATTGCATTTTCAACAAATTTAGGATCCATTTGCGTGTGAGAAATAAATTTTCCATTTAAACTCAGCATTTGCATAAACCTAGAAGGTATTGTTACACCTGGAACCATGAAAACACAAGTCTGTTGAGCCCGGAGGCTGTCAACAAATTATGTGGTTCCTTTGAGTATACTGAATCGTGTTTTTGTATGATCTGAACCTGTGAAGAATGCTTCTGGGTATGAAGAAAAACACTTTGGATTGAAACTAGTCTTATGTGCTATATCTAACAGTTTGGTTACTTCCGCACTAGTTTCTTCTTCCCATTCCCTTTTCCTTTATCTCGATAGTCTTTTTTCACCTTGTGACTCTGAGTTTTCGGGGGACTATTCTCAACACCTGTCAGCGGTGTCCCCTACGAACCTCCAACTCTCACTGTAGAGTCTGCAGAGCCGAGATTGAGTAACAAAGTCCTCACTTCGAAGAGGATTCCCAATCGCTTTCGCGGTCTGTATCGTCTTCATCTCTCAATATATTCCCCTATCATCATTATCATGAAGCTAACCACGATCAGATCAGATGGTAGAGTCGGAGTCCTACTCATCACCAACCTTTGATCATGGAGGAAATGCCATCCGATGAGTTTCTGGAGCGTACCCAACATCCGATACAGAGATGGCGGATTGGATCAAGTCGGCCTCGACTGTTACAAAGAAGGGAGATATAGATGAATATGCGCACCTCATGTGGTCCCGGTGTCGAGGCCTCGCCTGGCTGGGGCTGCAGGTTTTTTGAGACTTTTTCCCGCGCACGCAGTTTCCATTGCTACCATTTCTTTTTTTTTTGGGTAGAAGGTTCCGTGGAAAAGGTGGCTGAATTCCACGGGTAAATACTGAGCTGAATGGCCATTCATCAAGGGGAATATATCAATGATCTTTCAAGTAACAAAAGAGGATAGGAGCACTGTACAAGGTGTGGCCTGGGTCAGAGAGGAGCCCAATGTGCTAGATAGTCATAGACTCAAGTAGCACAATAAACACAAACACACACACTCTGAGTTTTCGATTTGGGGCCCTTTCGGGGTTTGGCCACTATTTGGTATTAGCAATGTCTCTCGGGAAGGGAATCATTGAAGTACCTGTGGTTTGTTTCATATTTTTAGGGAGGGCCCTTTTCAAAGCTTTCTCCACTTCTTCACGAATGGTTTTCGCGATGTCAGATGGACTCGAATCAGTCATAGCCACGTCTGAATCAACCTTGTGTTGAAATTTGCATTTTTTATGCGTATTTTCTTCCATCCGTTCCTGTCGCGCAAGTGTCAGAGCCTTTTCGCGCATTGGATAGCCTATGGAGGCCATTTCTAGTTTTTCGGCATTCAAATAAACTGGAGTTGCTTCTGATTTGTCGTAATCCAAGGCCGCCAGTGTGGCGTCAGTCAATTCCGTGAGTTTGACTTTGAGGACTTCCTTCGACTGTTGCTTGACGAAAACTTCAAGTTCTGCTTTCTTCTGCTAGATGAAGTGCTTCAGAACGGAAGCGCGAAATTCATTCACCGTGTGATGGAGCCATGCTGAACCGGCCTATCGTTCTCCGCTTTTGTTGAAAATCAGTGAAAATTGAATTGTGGGGACCTTAAGTGATCCCAAGATCTGGGGTGGAAACGTCCCAGTCGTCTGATGGGTCTCGAAGTGCTCGATGGCTGATTTGACGTTCTGTCGTTTCAGTTCGGTGGCATATACTTCTTTCAGCAAAATCTTTGTCCCTGAGGTGAACAAAGGACAACAAAACCTGACAATATCATCGATCGTGTTTGCGGTCGATAATGAATCCTCTGAACGACTCGAGAGGGCTTTCGAGATGACTGGAATGACGCGGGATCCAGGTATGGTTTTGAATTTGAAAATTTTAAGTCTTGGTGACAAAAAAAGAAGGGTTAGGTTAAAATATTTGGCCAATGTTTGTCAAAAAAGGTGAAGGCACGAGGATGTCTGAAATGGGAAGGCGTGGGCCTATAATTTGACTACTGTGGTGTTGTGGCATTGGCTCAGCGCGGGCAGTAGCTGCGGATACGTTATTCAGTGTGTAATTAAATGACCGGGCGATGCGTTCCTCTTTGCGCTCTAGGTAGATATTGCTGTCTACCTCTACCGCAAGTTTCCGGACCATTTCATAGTCCTCGCGGTCGAGGGTTGGTTGACAGTTTAGCGCATTTCTAATCTCGGGCTGCATGTGATGTAGGAACTGGAGTGCCATAACATTGGGAGGGTAACCCAAAGCATGGGATGCTTCTTCGAATTGCGTCGCGAAGATGGCGACAGAACCTTTTACATGTCTAGTCATGTACTGGTCTTGCATACGCAAGATGTACTGCGTGTCTTGAAAGGTTCTAGAGAACTGTGCGATAAATTCAGCTTAATCATCAATGAGATCTTCACAATTGCCGGTGATGACTGCATTCATCCAGTTTGCAGCGCGACCCGAACAATGCTCCACAACCTCTGTTAGACGCGACTCTGGAGTGCTGAAGTCTTCGCGATATTTGACAAAACGGAGATCTATAGCCGTGGGCCAGGCCTTGAAATCTTTGTTGCTTCCATCGAACTTTTCGATCGTAGCCGATTTTGATGGAGCATTTTTCCGTGAATGTAGAGCGAATTTTTAACCTTTTCGCTGAATAGGTAAAGCTCTCCAGGTTTCTCAATACTGGCCATGATATCTTAGTAGATTTCTTGAAGTTATGAGCTTGAGCGAAGATGGAGGCAAAAGCGGAATCAGTGTCGGCGGTAAGACCAATACAGTAAGTCTTATATGAGGTTGTAGAAGGAAGATTTCAGTAGAAACAATTGTATTGAGATGTAAGGTTTTGAGTAAAATTAGATGATAGTAGTGAAATTGCGTGTGCGCATTTCTTTCAACTGTAGTTTTGACCGAAACCTTACGTCTCAATACAATTGATTTCACCCAAATCTTCCTTCCGCAACCTCGTATAAGTCTTACTGTATCGGTCTAACCACCAACACTGATTCTGCTTTTGCCTCCATCTTCGCTCAAGCTCATAACTCCAACAGTGTGGTCCTCTTTTTTTAATCGTCCTGTGGCAGGATCTCGGTCGTTGGCGAGTTCTGTGGGTGTATTAGTCTCCAAGAACATGACTTCTTTAGTGTTGAAACTGTGGGATTGTGGGGCTATGGGACGGTTAGTGGCTCTAAGAGTGCAGTGCGCGAACGTGCGAGTGACCGAAGTGAGCTGGGCCTCTTAAAAACATAGCCAAAATCACAAATTATGAGGATGGCAGAGAGGCAGCCTCGGGAATGCAAGATAAATTAGCTGAGGAGTTATTAATAAAATTGACCACAGCGAGCTATAAATTCAGTTCTTTGAGATGGATGTGAGAGAGATTAGGACAAGTTGAAGAGATGATGCGACGGATGGATGTAACCTCGACTGACGTGAAATCTCGAATTTTGGCAAGGAGTTTTACGAATCGGGCTTTGTGCGCGCTAAGACTTCGCTTGCGAGAGTGCAGCTGACACTATAAAAATAAGCAGACGATGGAAGGTGTTGTGATCCGCCCCCTGGTGATGTTCTATGGTATAGTTTGAGTAGCCTGGGCACCTACTCCACTTGGGAAGGAGACGTCTCAGATCATATTTCGCGCGGAGAAAAGTTGAAAGATGATGGAGGCATGTCTGGATAACTCAGGGTTTTTGAGACGTTCCCCTGGGTGGTTATTCACGGATGAGGGTTGACTTGGGGTGAAGAAAAAGCCGCAATAACCTCGCAGTGGTACTTGCAAATGAAATCTGAGGCATGAGTGCTCTTCCTTCACGTTGAATCATCTATTCTGCACTTACCTTTGATATTATGTCATAGCTAGATAGCTACATATGCAATTAAAATCTGATGCAAAAAAAAAAGAGTGAATGATGTCTATTGTGCTACTTGAGTCTATAACTATCTAGCACGGTGTTCCTTACGAATCTGGAAATGAAATATTCTCCTAGAGCCAAGTTCGGTCAAATTTCCCAGTACCGGACAAGTTGGCCCACGAAGCAATGATTCAAACTACACCACCACGTCAAATCTTCGCTCCCAAGGAGTCCAATTCATACCTAAGCCTCATCAAGACTACAAGTACGACCTAGTACATCCTTATTCCAATGATCACACCTCTCGTCGACTTTCTCTGGCCTCAGCTAGTCACCAAATACACGCTTACGCAGATATTTATACCCGACGGAGGACACAAAGCGTGGCGCACAAATCTGGGGGACTGTTTGGGATTGGCGTGAGAGGATTTAGAAAAAGTTAATAAGATGAAGCTGAGGATGGATACACTCTCTACGGGCATGAAATTTCGAATTTTGGCAAGGAGTTTTACGAATTGAGCTTTGTGCGTGCCAAGGCTTCGGTTGTGAGAGTGTAGGCGACACTGTAAACATCGCCATGGCTGGATGGTGCGATGGAACATCGTCTTGGCCGGTCTGCCAAGTAGGGTCTGGATAGCTTGGACACATATCCCACTTGAGACAGTAGATCTGTTGATAAATTGGGACTAAGAAGTTTATCTCAGAGTGAAGAAAATGTGATTGATTGATTCTTATGAAGTATTCCATCTCTCTTTAAATACAAGTCCATCCGTCCTTCATCCGATCACCCACGTACAGACGATATAATCTCCCCATACTATTGTGCAAGCTTAATGTGTCATATAGTCCTAAGGATGAAGTAATAACATGATCAGTTCCAATATTGCAAACAGCAACTGTCATGAGCGACTACTGCTAGTACTAGTTAACGAGTCGTAGATAACACGAATATAGATAGTTACAGGAATACGACTCGTACATGATTACATGAGTACAAACAGTTACAGGATATTTTCACAGATAACGTCAGGTAAAATGTTTAGAGCTCAGTGTGTATCACGTGAGATCTTGGCGCACTTAGCCTGCAGGGTTATATGTACTTTCTTGTCGGTTTCACATCGCTTTGGATGCAGGTCATGGTTAGGTTGACAAGATCGCTGGTTCGAATCCGGCAAAACACAACCACATTTTTCGCGGCTCTGGTATACATGGATGACGAAGACATGCTTGGACAAACAAAGGTTTTGAGACGTCCCTTTGGT